TTATATAAATTCCCAATCACTACGTTGTACACCTGTAACTAATATAATTTTGTATGTCAACTCTAATTGAAAAATAAAAAAATATATATTAAAAAATAAAAGTAAATTATAAAGTAGAAACAGAGAAGAAATGACAACCACTTAATATGTCTACAGCTTAATGGTAAGTTAAAGAAAGTAGAGACAATCTTAACAACAGCAATGTCAATACATTCAGCTTTCCTTGAAAAAAAGGTACTTTAGGGATCTGTGTTTTGGGGACACAAGTCATGCACTACAAAACACATTTACATCAAGAATAAAAAGAGACACCCTGCTAGAATGAGTAAGATATCTTCATTTTTCAAATGGTTCTGCCATACCAGCCACAGGTGCCTAATTTGATTCCTGACTGGAAGTGGTAGAAGCAGCTTGGGATACAGCGTAGCATCTTCATGAGTTTCCTTTCTGCTGTGGGACCTCTCAGGGGCCAGCATGGGTCACAACAAAGCACTATTCAACACTCACATAGCAGTGGCCACTAGGGTAAATAAGGAGAAGAGCGCCAGCATGTGAAGCAATATTATTTGATGGAATAAAATAATATATAACTTTTCTTAGTTGCCAGATCTGTGTTAGGACTTTTTTACACATTACTCTAAATCCTTATAAGAATTCATATGAATTTAGTTTTTACAGGTGATTAAGAAAGGGACAGAAAAAGTAAATTTATTTGCCTGAAATTATAATATTAGTAAGTGGTCAGAGCTTGGATTTCTATGCCATTTTTTCTGAGCGTTAAATCCTTTTATACACAGCATCCGGCTAGCTCCTCACCAGGTCACATGCAAAGCAGCATTTGGCACTTGTTCTAGCCCTTCTTAATGAGGAAACTTTGAGAGCTTCTTTTCCTTAGCAGTCTTCTAGCAAGGAGAATGCTTTTATGGCATGGTTGAAGCCCAGAATTGACTTATGACACCCCCAGACAGAAACACATAGATGCAACTGACTTCAGTAACCTAATTTTAGGCATCTAGATACATAATTCCATCATCAATTCTACTGAGCACTCACAATAGACAACATGGGATCCCCCTTCTACAAAAGTTAAACTTCAAAACAAAAGTAAAAGCTATTCTATTGAAGGCTTCCTAATAGTGAAACTGATAGAGCCAAATACAGAATTACTAAAAATATCAAAGAATAGCGTAGATTAGTAAAAGAAAATTTACATGCACAAACAATACATAGACATATCTACACAGTTTGTTTCTAAATTTGAAAGTTTATGTGAATCACCAATTGGAATAAGGAATGAAGTATAGCAGCATGCTATTTAAAGAACATCTACATTCTCTGAGATTCTTGTGCTTTTTCTGCCCATGTTAATCCATTCTTAAACATTTAATTAACATCTTAGTCCCACTGAGGTGTTAGTCTATTTGCTTAGGTAATTGATAGTGAGGCCAAAAGCGTCATATTACTGTTGAAAAGTTAAAAATTGAAATTACATAAGAGTGTTAATATCAAAGTTAAGCATCTTAAAAATAAAAGTTTATTGAGAAAGACTACATATAATTTGCTATGCAATTTTCAGTTCCTTTTCTTTGAAAAGGAATGAACACCCTTAAGAAATGGCATTATCACTGTGTTCTAGCCTTTCATGCTACATTAATCTACTTAATCAGAGGTCCATCACTCTTTGTCTTAAGCATGCTGACTGCCTCGGGAGGGGAAATTGCAAAAACTATTTAATTTAATAGCCTGTGGTTCTAAAAACGAATGTACTTGTTTTTGCTCCATGTATAATGAGTTTAAACGTATTTTATACTTTTGAAAAAAAAGACTAAAATATCTTTGCTTACATGGCAAAATGGAAAGACAACCCACTTAATAGAAGAACATATTCTCCAATGATATATCTGATATGGACTTACTATCCAAAGTTTATAAGGGACTTATAAAACTCAACACCAAAAAAAAAATCCAATTAAAAAATAGGCAAAGGACCTGAACAGATACTTCTCCAAAGAGGACATACAGATGGTCAGTAGAGATATGAAAGGAATCTCATTGTCATTAATCATCATAGAAATGCAAATTAAAACCACCAATGAGATACCATCTCACAGCTATCAGAATGGCTATCATCAATAAATCAACAAAGAAGTGCTGGTGAGGACATGGAGAAAGAAGAATCCTGCACTCTTGGCGGGAATGCAGATATTGGCAGCCACAGTGGAAAGCAGTATGCAGTTACCTCAGTCAAACTAAAAGTGGAACTGTTTATGACCCAGCATTTTCACTTCTGGGAATATATCCAAAGAAAACTGAAATACCAATCCAAAAGAATATATGCACCCTTATGTTAATTGCAGCATCATTTACAATAGCCAAGATTTGAAAGTAGCTCAAGTGCCCATCAATAGATGAGTGGATAAAAAAGCTGAAAAGATATCTGAATTCCACTGGGGTTTCTTATTTTCAGAATAACTATACCTCCTAAACTTTTTTTCCCCCCCAAGGAAGATAAATTATTTTACAACAGACATTTTTCCCCCTCAAATGCCTATTTTTAACACTAAATTGCCAAAATACTCAAATATAAGATAGGCAGTGATTCTTAAGAAAAGAGGTCGTATTCCGCTTTTCCTTGGCAAAAAAGCTGTGGTGCATTTACACAATGAAATATTACTTAGCTATAAAAAGGAAGGAAATCTTACCTTTTGTGACAGCATGGATAGACTAGGAGAGTATTATGCTAAGTAACCGGTCAGAGAAAGAGAAGTACCATGTGATTTCACTTAAAAGTGGAATCTGATAAAATACACTAGCAAACAAAGCGGAAACAAACTCATAGATACATAGAACAGATTGACAACTGTCAGAGGAAGGGGGTTGGGGACTGGGTGGAAAAGATTAAAGGATTAAGCAAAGATAAAAAAAAGTCTGGACACAGATTACAGATATCAGCATGGTGATTGCCAGAGAGGGTGGATAGAGGTAGAAAGCAGGGATAAATGCTAATAAAAAGAGACTAGACTTGGGGTGGTAAATACACAATACAATGCACACATGATGTATTATTATAGAAGTGGATACTTGAAACCTATGTAATCTTATTAGCCAATGTTACCTGAATAAATTCAATAAAAAGCAATATTTAAAGTTTACATGAATCTGCAGAGTACTCTTTGCTATGCTGTTCTCTCACTTGTCTAAAACAATACTCTTCTCCGTACATATTTGTAGGAATCTTGAGATGTGAAATATTTATATTTTACATATAAAGTCTACCACAGAGTGGCAACAGGGGTGGCCAAGTAAGAGTTTTAAGAGGACAAAGACAAGTATGAATAGTGATAAATACTAACAAAACCTGATTAACTATTCCAAGTGTTCATAATCAAGGACCCTCCCTAAGATTGCTACTTGTAGAACTGGGGCTTTTCACAGACACTCCAGGTTGCCTTTTTGAAGTTAAAATATGTACACATATGAGAGAATTTTCCAAATAGCTTTTAGCAGAGGAGGAGTGTAATAAAAAAAACAAATAAACTAGAGCTCCGAGAAGCAAAAGGCTTAAGGTATTTTTCATTTTGTTTGACACTTGAGTATAAATTTTAAACATAATTTCTCCTCTACGCTTTCCCATGTGAACTGATGTAGACATTTAGCAAAGGCTCTATAAATGTTACTTAACAGCCTAAGTGCCCATCAGTAAATAACTGGGTAAAAAAACTGGTACATTTACACAGTGGAATAATATACAAGAGAGAGAAAGAAGGAATTCCTATCCTTCAAAACAGCTTGGATAGAACTGCAGAGCATTATGCTAAGTGAAATAAACCAGGTTGTGAAAGACAAATACAATATGAACTCAACTATAAGTGAAACCTAATGAAGAAAAAAACAAATGAGCAAAATAGAACCAGAGACATAGAAATAAAGAACAAACTGACAGCGACCAGAGGGCGTGGGGCAGAGGGATAACAAAGGAAAGAAGGGACAGGGTCTAGTCATGGAACATGTATAAAGGATCCATGGTAATGATAACAGGGTGGGGACTGACTGAGGGAGTTGGGGGGATGGACCGAGCAGGGGAGAGGAACAGGGCAAAAATTGGGACAATTTTGATTGAACAATAATAAAAAGAATCAACTACGACAAACATTTCCCAAAGTCTCTGACACTGTCCTATTTCTTTCTGTATAATTTTTATTCTATCTCACCATCCCCAGCAGACGCTTCGCAACCTTCCAGGTTCTCCCAAAGTATAGTTTAGAAGCCACCTACAATGGAATCACTTGAGTTGATTGTTTAAAATTCAAATTCCTGGGCCCACCCAAATGGACTGCATTTGAATATATGAGGCCAGGGTTCCAGATCTGCCCATTTACCAAAAATCAACAAAATACCGCAGTAAAAAAAATGACAACCATTCTGATTAGTGTTAAATTGTTGCCTTGAGACTAAGCTCCTTTAAATTCTCTCTCTCTCTCACACATACATATACAACACATACAGTCTTTATATAATTGTCCAACTGCCCCTGTTACTGTGTGGGATTTTACAGGCATAAATTTTATTGTTCATAAGCTTTTTTTTAATTTATTTTTTCAAATACATTTGTCTCTGCCTTCCCACTACCACTTTCCCTTGCCCCCACCAAGCTTTTTTTTAAGAAAAGCTTGTTCATAAACTTTTAAACATTTGCAAAAGTTAGTGATGTAGTTTATGTAGAGATAAACTTTAGGACATTAATTGGTAGGGATTAATAGAACAATAGGAAAAACATAAAAACTGACCTTCCTTAAGTATTTCTTTGTACAGTACTCCTGATCTGTTTCTAACATAAAAAATAAACAATTAAGAGACCAAGATATCCTTTGCAAATATAGCACATTGGACCAATGTCATATCGTTTTCCTGAATAAATTAAGTAGTTTTTAGCGATATACTAAATCCTCATTTGCACAAGGGGAAAATCCTGATATCAAGAAAGAATGAAGAAAACTCACCACTTCTTCATGTCTGCATTTTCTCACATTAATTCCATTTATCTGCAATGAAAGGAAAGCATAGTTTCACATCATATGTTACAAGTAACTTTATGTTTTGATTGGCATAGAACAATAATAGTAAAATATTTACCTGTAAAATTGCATCCCCGATAAAGAGTAGTCCCGAAAGTTCCGCTGTGAATGAAAAAGAACAATTGATTATGCATCAACCACTTTCTTTATACAGATTAGTTTTTATAAATTAAACTCAAAATAAAAAAATAAATGCTTTATGTGGATATTATCTTAAAAGATGCACAAAGAATGTAAATACAAAAGTAGCCATGTGATTCAGCCCAAATACTGAAACACAAGCTGAGATATTTCAATTTAGTTCCATTTCAGATTTTACAGTTGTTAAAACATATACTGTCTTCTGCATCAATGACTAAATTTTCTCATGTACTTACAATTTTAAGGTAGCTATGAAAAAGTTAAGATGTAGACATTCAATACATCAATCATTGAATCAGCCCCAATTTTTTTTTAAACATTTGATTATCTTATACATATCAGTTATTATCAGGTGCTTTATATCTTTAGTGATTTCCCTAGGTAAAGTTTTATGTGAGGGGTTAGCTGAGTTAAATTATACATAAGAACTGAAAATATTGGGTTGGCCAAAAAGTTCATTTATTTATCTATTTTTCCCACATGGTAGCTCTAGTAGCACTTAGTTGTCTTTAACATCATTCAAAACTATTTTGTTAGATTGTATTGTGACAGTTGTCATATCAACATGTATTTTAAAAATCTTATCAAAATTGGTGAATTTTTGTGTAGCCATTTTAATATTGATGATGGAAGAAAATCTATAACATTTACAACATACAATGTTTTATTATTTTAAGAAAGATAAAAACGCAACTAAACACATAAAAAGATTTGTGCAGTGTATGGAGAAGTTGCTGTGACTGAGCGAAAGTGTCAAAAGTAGTTTGTGAAGTTTCTTGATACTTTTGACTCCTTGGCCAAGTGATTCTTTGCTGTGGGGCTGTCTTACGCATTGGAAGACACTTAGCAGCACCCATGGCCTCTACCCACTAGAAGCGAATAGCAGGAGAGAGCCGACATAATTAAAATATCCAAATCAGTGAAGTTATTGGTGAAAATTAAAAACGTGTCTTTTATTTTATGGAAAAAAACGAATTGACTTTTTGGCCAACCCAATAATATACATCTAAAATTGCTTATACTTGATATAACTTGTTACCATTACATTTGTTTGTATGTTTGTTTAATAAAACAATTGAAAAGTAATATACTCCCTAATTCATACACAGTTCAATGCTCTATTATCTTTCATAAAGTCCTTCCTTGGAATAAGAAAGTGCATAGACTCAGGAGTCAGACTCATTCACTTATTGCCTGATCATGGGGAAGCTGCAGTTAGTCAATAACATACTGATTTATGATTCTTATATAATTATCTTATTCTTGAATAACAATGGCTTACAAAGGAATGGCTACAATATAATTCTCTTAATACTTTACCTCTTTGCTCCTTGGAGATTTTTGAAATGACAACTGGAATGTTATGTTCTGCACCCCCCTGAAAAGAGAAAAATCATATATTGTGCTTCTTAATCTAAAAATTAAAAAAATGCAGTGTTTAGTTAAAAGCTATACATGTTATGAATAGCATGTTAAGAAATACTAGATAAAATTTAAATAAACTTGTGGAATTTCCTCAGTATGTAGATAGTACTCCCAAGAAAATTATCTACTTGTTCAGAATTTTACTGTGACATCCATATTTAATAACAAGTGACTTTGCAAGTTTTTATTTTTCAAATAGAGTGATAATATGTTAAATAGTCATTTTTTCCCAATGTGTAACAGTACTGTCCATTGTAGAAATTTCTATTTAGGGCTCTAGATGATCATGTGTTTCCACTCCTATGATTAAGCTGGTGACTGAGCTCAGGCCCCTTTGCAGGCTGAACGACTAGAGAACCTCTACTTGCACAAATGGATACACAAAATCAGAGTGAGCAAGATGGGAAATGATAGTCTGCATTTCCTTAATTAGTATCAGATTCCATTTTTCAGTAAAAGCACAATAACAGAATAAAACAAAATGGCAAGAATGTTGCAGTACTTTGTCTAACTGAGCAAATGAGATATGAAAAAAAGAAACAAAAACAAGTTAGCTAAACTTTTGTAGAATACAATAAAATAAATCCCTGAAATAACTACAGAAAATTTGTTTCTATATTACAGAGTTGAGACAGTTGAAAGCAATAGATGGAAAATCAAGTAGGTGCATTAAAGAATAAAATGTCTTGCATAAAAGAAGTACAAGATGGGGCACAAGTAGATTTACAATTGTGAGTATGTGAAACAGTTTATTCTTATATTATTGCTAATTATTGTATTATTTTTCATATCAACAATTGTAAGCCTATTTTTGTCCCACCCTGTATAGCATATGTAAGATAGTTTAGTTGAAAGGATTATCTAAATTCCACTGGGTTTTTTCTATTTTTAGAATAAGTATACCTCCTAAGCCTTTGTTTTTTTTCAAGCACAATAAACTATTTTACAACAAGCATTTCCAACGCCCCCACAAATGCCTATTTTTAACATTAAATTGCCAAAATACTTTAAGGTAGGCAGTAGTTTTTAAGAAAAGAGGTGGTTTTCAACTTTTACTTGACAAGTAGTTCTTTCTTTTTCTAGAATATTACGAAGAAATATGAAAAATAAAATATTGAAAACGGTCTTAATCAATTTGAAATTCAAACCCATGACTAAGTTAACATGTTCTCACTATTTTCCACCAACCCAGTACTTACCCACCCACCCTCACTAACTCAGTGAGAAAAGTCTCTGGCATAAACTGCACTGGTACCTAAGTCTGTTTTTGCTTTGTAGTCTGTGTGTGCCGAGCAAGCAATGTCTACCTCTCATCTGATAAATTACTCTCCCTGATAAAAGGGAGAGTAATTTGTAACTGGCAATTGGATGGAAGTGAGTGCTTAATTAGAACACAGTAAATACTTAATAAAAAGTAGTTGTTATTATTATTCATTTGTAGGGGTTCAGAATAAGTCACCACAAGATGTGCCTCTGGGGTATGCAGGTTGTTTTGAGTTAAGGGCAACTTTAGCCACAGGCTCAAGAGAAACTTCTGTCCCTCTCTTTAACCGAACCACGTGGAAGAACTTAAATCAGAGGCCTTGCCCATCATAAGAGATTATCAGAGAGAAGCTCTTTTGAGCTATCTATAGGTCCAAACAAACTTTTATTCACCAAACTTGTGTTCTTACCATTTCACAGTGACCTTTTGAAGGCTCCCCAGTGCATTACCTCGTTTCTAGCTCAGGGTATCTTATATAGCTCATCCCCCCTTCTGCCCCTGAACTTCTTTTGCATGTGAGGGTCTCTGATTCTCTCATGTATGTGGGATTTCCGTACATATACATGTATTAAATTTGGTTATTTTCTTTTGCTAATCTGTCTCATGTCTGTTAGACCAGCCAGAAGGACCTTGGTGGTAGAGAAAATTTTGTTTCTCCCCCATGCAGTTCATCAATTAAGATTTATGAGTAAAATTACATGTCATTAAGTAGTAAATAAAATTAAAACTAATTTATTCTAAGATACTTAATATTTATTTGTAAGGATTCCAAGTTCCCAATACCCTAAGTTCTGTTCTATTCTTTTCCATTATCCTTATCGGCTTCTATCCTGCTATTTTTTTATTCATTATTTACATTTATTACTTGTTTTCTCTCTCCTTCATCCATCCTAAACTAATATGTAAGTATTCTATAAGGACACTGAATATTTTTGTAATTTGTTTTGTCCATTGATATAACCTAGTGCATGAGGGATAAAGCATGTGGCGAAGAGGCTGTAGCTGATAAGGAGATAGGAAAACCAACCCTCAATGAATTTATGGCTTAGAACCAGCAGAGACCAGCTCCATCCAACATTGTGACTAATTTCACCTAATGGTAACCTCTAACCTCATTATACACTCATTGTAATACATTAGCATGCTAAATGCCACACCCTGTACTTCCCTGAGAGAAAACAAAAAGTCCAAAAGAGGTCACACAATGGCCTATGGAGCTCTAACAAGAAGTCTTTACAACTTTTATAATTTTCCTGGAAAAATTCTGAATATTCCTCCTTCTCATTGAATGCCCTACCTTTAATCAAATAAACTTCATTAAGGGAAGAAAAATCCACTAAAGGGGAGGTTCTCTGTCTCACTACTTCACTAATAAACTCATTTTCACTTTAATACCATGCTGGCTTGAATTTGAATTCCTTTCTACTTGAAGCCAAGATCCCAGAGTGGGTCACTGACCCTGCCCCCGGAACGCCTGCATCATATGGAATAATGCCTATCTTTTTCATCTTGAAATGATTGTTGAATAAGTCAGTGAATCAATAAATAAAGTCTACAGCTTTTCCAACCCTGGAACTGTTCCTTTAAAAAAATTGGAACACCTGGCCAGTGTGGCTCAGCTGGTTGGAGCATCATGCCATATACCAAAAGGTTGTGGGTTCAATTCCTGCTTAGAGCACATACCTAGGTTGTGTCTTTGATCCCCAGTCAGGGCACATATGGGAGGAAACCAATTGGAGTTTCTCTGTCATATCAATGTTTCTCTCTCTCTCTTTCTCTCTCTCTCTCTCTCTCTCTCTTCCACTCTCTGTAAAATCAATAAACATTTATTTAATTGCAGAATTTTGTTGTTGGAGCTGGGAAGATATACAATAATATCAAATGTACATGGTCACTGAGAGTTTCTAGATATATCTAGAAACTGGAAAGTATTTTAAGAATGCATTTCCCTTTCTTAAAAGAAAAAGCTTGTTAACTAAAATAAATCACTCATTAAAGAAGTTTTATGTAACATAAAAATAGAAAACAAGATCATCCAGACATTGTGGTTTAGATATTTTAAGGTAGACATTAATATTGTTTATATCACTCTTGTCTTTTGTAGATGTGTTTAGAGTATTTTCCTTCAGCTTCTTTTTTTTTTCCTGCTTCTTAGTTTTCTCTCCTTGAATTACTGATCTAAAGATTTTCTCAGTGTTTAGGTTTTTAATTCACATTACCATGGTAAGAAAATGGGAAATCTCTCCCTGGGACCTGTCTAGAAAAAATGCTGTTGAGATAGCATCTTTTTCAGGGCCAACTCAGTAACCCATTTCCCTCAACAGCCAGATTTATAACCACCCCTTAATGACAAGATATAACTAACCCCTATTTTGTGAACATTTTTTTTATAAAATTTTTCCTGAGATCTGTATGGTTTGTACTCAGAGGTGTTTTGTTTTTTGTTTGTTTGTTTGTTTTAGGCATTTGGAGTTCTGAGAAAAATTTTAAACTAATTTCAGAAAATGAATTTATAATTAATTAGATAGAAAATTTTAAGACAAAGACGAGAAAAAAATTGTAACAAAATTTTTACCATAGGTAGCTAGATATTAATAAAGGAAGGGAGCAAAGAGATATAGACATTAAGAAGCTTTACCTACTAGGAAGCTACAGCATCACACACTCCCTAGTAGATCAGAGCATTCCCAGTATTCCCAAGAAGATTAATACTGTTCCCTTCTTTGTATAGGGAGAAAGGATCAGCTTTCCAAAATCCCCAGGGTATAACCATACCATTTGCCCAGACTATGGGGAAGGAGGAATAGAGCCATAATGAGGAGGTAAGGACTGTTTAATAAAAGCCAAGATGGCACAGAGGCAGATGCTTCTACTATGGGGCATTTGAAGTAGGAACCAAGATGGTGACCATAGAAGCTGGTCAGGCTAACCTGGGAATAGGATGAGATTGCATAAGGGACACAGAACTCCAGAGGATTCAGGAAATGCATAGGTTAAGGGGAGGATTCAATGCAAGCCCACGAATGACTGGGACATTGATTGGTTAGTTTGAAAAAGTGCCTGCTTTCTAAAGCTTGAGATAACAACCCAAGCAGGCCTAGCAGCTGCCTGGGGCCTGGGACCCGTGGCAGGTTGCACTGGGTCTTGCATGGGCCTGAGCACAGCAGCAGCCAAAGCACAGCCGGGAACACAGACTAAGCTAGCCCAATGAGGAAAATTACAGGACTAGAATAAGCTTTGATACGGCTTGAACTGATGACACAAAATTTCTGGCTTTTGGCCTTTGTTCTGAGCTTGATGGAGACAAGACTGAACTTTTCCCATGGCGGGAAGCTGAACCTAGGACAGTCTTTTATGTTTGCTACAGTTCAATAAACTTTGCCACTGAAGCTCTATCTTCCCATGCAGGCCCTTGAAATGCTTTTCTTGCAGCACTGCAAGAACCCCATTCCCACCGGCAACAAAATCACAGTACCTTCATTTATTGGATAAAATGTGAGAGCAATCCAGCTCCGTTAAAGTTCATTAGATTTAGTTCTGGACCTAAATGAGAAACTCAAGGTTTTCTGGGAAAGAATCAAATAATGTGACTCACTCTGTTCAAAAGAGATAATAGGCTTCCTTCCCCTCAGATTTAGAATAAAAAACAAAATCCTTAACCTCCCCCTGCCATGTGACCTTTGCTCACC